AATTAGTAGCATCAGAATACAAAATAATTGACAAAATTTTTGAGCCTAAAGGTAAAGTATTCTGAGTAGTTTTCTACCACATTCCATTATTTTGCTCTTTATAAATATTTTTTTTACCATTCTTTAAATAAAATAAATTAATAAAAACAAAATAAATATTTTAATAAATAATATTAGATATAGTTTGATCATTTGGACACAAAAAACAGCTAAAGAAAAAAAAGATTTTAGCAAAATTATCAATAAAAAACACCCCAAATAGCTCTAAACAAAAAGAAGCAGCAACAAGGAAAGCATTAGACTAGCAAAGGAAAGGTTTATTTGCAAAATAATAGCAGAGTTATTAAAGAAATAGCAAAAACTCATTAAAAAACAACAGTAGTAGTGAATTGCCATTAGACTCTGTAACGTAGATCTCTTTATATTACACAAAAGACACGTAATAGCAAAACAACAACAGATATGTGCAGGTTACCAAATTAAAATAGACATCACAAATCATATATAGATATACGTGAAATCTGAAGCATAGCGGGCATTCATTCTGATTGGATGATCATCACCATATATGTTACTATTACATTTACTGATAATCTGACTTTGAATCGTTTTCTGGCCACAAGGAAGCATTTCTGAGTTATATCACAATTATTACAAGAAAGATATTGTTCTATTTAACCTACCTCTAAAGTAATTTGAAAAATGTCAAGATAATTTGAAAGTTAGATAAGAGCTACTTTTAAGCACTTTGTATAACGTTCTTACAATATATATTATATAAAGCTCAAAAAAACGAATACCCAAGCCCCAGCACTGTGATTTTGAAGGCAAAGATGAAATCAAATGTGACTATAAAGAGAATGGCGCTTCATATATTACTGAGAATGTGAAGATTTTAGAACAAAGTCTTCATTTAGACTTGGTAGAAAAGGCCTTATGTAGGAAACATCGAAACTATCTTATAGTAAATGCAGTGAAAAGGCAAAAAACAGCTATAAGAGAGGCAGGGTGTGCGCATCCCAAACACAGGAAAAGATACAAAATTAGATAAAGCATCTAATCGTTTAATTGAATATTTTAATCTTTTAACTAATGCTATGATTTGTAATCATTGTAAGTATATTAGTGATATCGACAGGTCATATCAGAACTATCCTTATCCAAGCAGGTTTACTAAAGAGGAGTTTGTTAGAATTCATGATAGAATTTATGCTTTTAGAAGTGAAGTTCTATATACGGAAGATCAATATAAAGAACTAGAAAAAGCATATCATGAAATATGTGAAGAATTAAAAGAGGCTAAATTAGGTATTATATAATATATACGTATTATCTTTTAGAGAAACCTATTTTCACCCAGGTTGAAGTCACCTGATAAATTATAATGTCATTTACTTGACTAAAATTAATAGTATTAGTAATATTTCGGGTGACTTCAACCCGAGTGAAAATAGAATATCCCTTATTTTATAATACATGTGTGGGACAATTTTTGATTATTTAAAATAATCAATTAATTTTTTAGAATCTACTCCTTTAGAAGAAAAAATTTGGTTGATAGCTAATGTCTTGTATGCTAAACAACGGAAGGAAAATCAAAAAATTATTTTAGATCCTGATGAATTTAAAAATATGTTGAGAAATACTGAGCCATCATTAGCAAATTTGTTTGATCAGCTTTATGCTAGAACTAATCCACATAACAAAAGCCATATGACAAATACTAAAAATAAGCAGCGTTTAGTTTTGTTTTGTTATTTTTTAGCAGGTTTAAACAATAAATTTATTAAAGGAATTAAGACAGAAATTAGATATATGTTGGATAGTGCAGGCATATTAACTTCAGCAATCGAAACATTTGCAGGTACAGGCATTAGTGTTAGACATGAAACTGTTACAAAACATAAAAAACAGCAAGAGTTAAGACATACTGAAATGGTAGAAACATTCGTATCTGAACATGTAAGTATGAATTTTATAAATTTTATAATTTTTTTTAATTATATTGGCTTGTAATAAAATACTAATATAATTATTATAGATGGATAATTTGATAATACTTAATTTAGACGACTATCATAATATTCATTCAAAGAGTCATATTGATGATATGAAAACATCCGAATGGTATCCTTTTTGTACTATACTATTAAAGGCAGCACCTGGAATTACGGCACCACCATTTATAAATTTATTTACAGGTAAAAATGTTCATAACCCGAACGGTATTGATTATAATCTTATTGTTGAAAATGTGCAGTTTTCAATTTTTCCTCATCTTTGGTTAACATATAATGAGCGTAAGCTAACTTTTAAGGATTTGCAAGAAAGTACTAACTATGAAGAACGTATAGAGATGCTTTTAGTTCATAGTTATGATAATAGAATATCTCAACGAAGATCAGATCGAAGTATGAATAATACAAAACTTGTAGATTTAATTAAGGGAAGCTTGCATTTTACAGAAGATTACGTTAAGGCTTTAAGAAATGTTTTCAGTATTCCAGAGTTAAAGTCATACCTCGAACATTATATTCTTGTAGCACCAATGGATTATCCCAGGCAGTTTTATGTACAATGTGCTGTTTCATTCTGCAAAATCCTGAAAATAGGCTTGAGCTTTCACCTTTATTGCTTCATATCGTTCCAATGATTGGTCCTTTACATGTTTCTTTAAATTCTTGTGAAACTGTTTTAAAGCTAAATTATGATTTTTTTAATCAACTATATCTTGAGGTATATAAGAAGAAAAGGCAACTATCGAAAAACCCTAGACCATACCGAATTAACATATTACTTGAGCTTGCTGCTACTGGATGGAATCTAATAAGAGTAGATGTAATAAAAAAATTTCATAGTTGTAAAGATGCTGAGGTAAGATATTTAATAGATCTTTTAGATAATATCATACCATTGGTTTTAGATTTTTATCCATTAATATTTCGAAGCGGTCACTGGCCAGCATATATAGATGCAATGTTTCGTGCTTGGGTTTTTTTTTTTAGATATGGTCGAAAGAATTATGATAAACTTCCACTAGCTTTTTTTAGTGACGTATTTTACTGGTTTCATATGAATCATCCTATGGCACAAGTTATTAAGCAAAATATTCACTTGTTTAATGACTATTATGTAGAAAATTTTCATTCCTCATTGCATCTTCAAACTCACGAATCGAATTCACCAGAGCAAATTATTCATCAAGCTAAAGTTATTGATCAAAATTGTGATAGCAACACATTTAAAGATACGTTTTCTGAGCCTCATAACATAATATATACGGAAAGAGAGTTGGTATTTATGAAAAAGAAGACAGCTGTGTTTCTTTTGAAACTTTTCACTAAGGCATATCATAATATTGGTAAGACAGTAATTGATAATTCAGGTAAGTATAAGCCTCCAAAGTATAAGATTTCATATAGGCTTCTATCACTAGATGTGGTAGTGGATGTAAAAATGCTTCCATTAGCATGGAGTACAGCCTTTTCTCCAAAGGCTGACAGGTTTTGTGATCGAGTAGGATGTGTACTTTCTTATAACTTTGGTTTTAATTTAAGTTGTGGGCATTCATATCATTACGAATGCTTTGTACTAAATTTTTTGGGTCAGTGTCATTATTGTAATAGCTATCTAATAGAAAGAATTGTTAAAAAAAGTAAATCGTTTCAAACCAGCATAAGTTCTTTAAAGAAATTGGTTTTAGAAAGTGACGATACTGAAGATAGTACTGATGAAAGAGATGACGATAAAAAAATTATGATTGATACTTCTGTAGATAATGATTTAAGTAACATTTTGTCATCATTTAATTGTTTATAATTTTTAGTTGTTTTTTTAGTTTAGATGTTAGAATCTTTTTTTAATCAAGTTGGATTTGGATTAAATTTGAATTAGTAGTAGCAAAAACATGTAATATTTTATTTATAAATGTAGAATTTTTTTAAATATTCTCTTTTTAATACTTAAATATATATTATTACATAAGTGATATCAATAAATTTGTTAATTGTTTTTTTAAATCTTAATAAGGAACTAAAACTTGTATTTTGCATAATTTGAATAATTCGAATAAATTAATTCAATAATTCGAGTGTGAATAGTGAGTTGGGACTAGAGTTAATACTTGGATTCGGATTTAATCAATAAATCCGGATTTAATTATTAAATCCAGATTTAATTTTACATCTGGATTTAATTTTACATCCGGATTTAATTGTTAAATTCAGATTTAATTATAACAGATAAGATCTGGATTTAACAATGATGTGAGACAGATTCGTGAGTGGATAGAGATAATGTGCCTGCATATTTAAATCCGGATTTAACAATTAAATCCAGATATAACAATTTAAATCCGGATATAACAATAAATCCAGATTTAATGATTAAATCCGGGTATAATTGATTAAATCCGGATCCAAGTATTAACTCTAGTTGAGACAAGCCAATCACTAGTGGATTTCAAAGTTAAATCAAAATAATCTAATAATCTATATAGCTACATTTATTTTAATTTTGCAGCTAATGAACTATTATATATAAATAATTTTGAATTTATTTCATCGAAAGGGCAACTTTGATTGGACGAATTGCACATCACGTTATAAAATGATCTACAAAAAATTAGCCAATCACAACGAAAGCCCGCTATGCTGAAATCTGATATATAGATAAGCAAACAAACAAAGGAAACTGAACAACCAATCAGAAGGCAGTAGATATAAATAGAACATAGAATTAATAGAGCATAGAGAAAGTTTCTCAACAATATTCATGAAAAGAGTGTATTGGACAATAAATAGAATACATAATAAAATATTCTTCAACTAGTCAAGCAGCATATATGTAACACCAGACAGAGAAGATAAAATTGTAGCCATGCTTACAGAGCAAAGCCCAGCAGAAGTTGCACTACTAAGGAAAACTAGAGAATTAATTGAAAAAGCAGAAAGAGAACAACCAGAAAAGAAGCTTAACTTTACAGAAGCAGACAAGAATATAATGCTAATTGAATGTGAAAGAATTCAAGACCAAGAAAATAAAGAAATAATGCAGCAAGGAATAGCTATGAAAGAAGTAAAGCAAGAAGACAAACGAGAGACAGAAAGAAGAATTAAAAAATAATAGAAGAAGACAACACAAGCAAAAGAAGATTACAGAAAGAAGACTCCATCTAGAGTTTAGGGCACAGGGGCATGGGGCATGCCTATGGGCATGCCTCAAGTCCAAAGGGCATGCCCTTGTCATATGATGTTTAAAGTTATTTTAATTGACTAATAAGTTCAGGTAAACTAGAACTGTAGATATTAAATTAACATGTAAGATTTTTAAGAAGTTGTAAACTATGTATTAATCATATAATTTAAAAAGAGCATGCCTATGGGCATGAGGGGCATTTCTTAGCTCAGGGGCATGCCCAATTTTTTTCCCATGCTCTGAACCCTAACTCCATTACAAGAGAAAAAGAAAAAATAGAGGTAAGTAAGAAAATTATAGACCAATTAAAAGAAAAACCACCAATGCAAAAAGCAGAACAAGAGGATATAGAAATGGATGGCAAAGAATCAAGACAAGGTTCAACATTAGAAGAGAAAGAAAGACAAAAAAGAAGAAAGAAGACAGTAGAAAAGAAAATAGATATAGCAGAAATTCCATTAGAAGAAAGTATATGGGCACCAAGTAGAAGAAGTTGTAACAAAGATAACAGTCTATTCGCTAATATACCAGCACACAATGTGCCTGGAAAAACAAAAAAAGAATGTGTAAAGTTTATCAAGTGGTCACTAAAAAACAATAAACATATTAAAAACATTAAAGAAATCTTTAAACAAGAAAATTTGTGGTTTGAGGTAAACTTTGACTGTGAGTATAATAGAAATGAGGCAATACAAAGGATAAGTAAAAAAGAAAGTGATTGGTACAAAATGATACCAAAAGAGGACAAAGAAAGGAAAAGAACAGAACAAAATAGGTATAGCAATAAATACCAAAATAGAAAATGTAGCATAACAGAATATAAAGAAAAGAGCTATAAAGAAGAAGAAATTCAAGAAGAAGAAGAACATACAATTACTGAGAAAGAAGAAGTAAAAAATACAAAACATATAACAATCTGGGACCTGCCAGCAGATATAAATAAGAAGGAGCTTGAATACATATGCAGAAGATTTAAAAATACACAAATAATAGAAATTAAAAGATCCAAATACAAGGCTCTCACAATAATATAAATAGAAGAATTAGAAGAAAGAAGTACCCCTTGGTCTATACCAGTTGATAACCATAAACTGGTAAGAGTAATAGAAGGAAAAGAAGATCACAAAGCAAGACAAAAGCAAAGCCAATATACAGCAAAGCTGGCAGAGTTGCCAAGCAGTGCTTCTGAAGTTTTATTATTACAGTGTTTGAAGAATAAAGGTGCAAAATCAGTATATATTCCACCAAATAGGAATGGAAACCAAAGAAGAACTGCAATAATTTCATTTACAATAGAGAAAGAAAAAAAAACAGCACAATCAAGACCAATCATGTACAATAACTTTTGTGTATTTTGGTCAAATGAGAGGAAAAAAAAAGTTAAAAAAAAGAAGTTTTTCAGGAAAGAAGAGGAAGAAACTGGGACAGAATGACCCAAAACCCAAACAGAAGGTTCACAGAAGGAAGAAGAGATGATTAAGAGAATAGAAATACAGATAAAAGAAAAGGAAAAAGTAAAAACCAAAACAGTCAAAACTCAAACAAGAGATGCATAGAAATAGAAAATGATCTTTAAATACAAGACATAGTTGAATGGTTAGGTGATGGAAATAGTAATACAGAGAAAGAAGATCTACAAGCACAAAACAAGAACCTTCTAGAAAAAATTCTTGAAAGACTAGAGAGAATTGAGACACAATAAAATAAGATAGAATGGAAGACAGAAAAAGATGGAGCCAACCACTCCTAATGGTGCTACAGTTGAAGTATTGAACATAGACCAGAAGATTGGAGAGTTTTTGCATAGTGAAAGAAGAATATTTGAAGAAAGAAACATAGAGTTATCTCCTGGATATAATGAAAACCAAAGGAAAAAGGAAAAGAAAAAGTAGAAAGCAGAGAAACAAAACATAAGCGTCTGAAAGAAAAATGGAAGCAGTGGAAGAAAGAATTAAAAATAACATATCACAACATCAACGGACTTAAAACAAGAGGATGGAAAATGGGTAACCTCATAGAATGGGCAGAAAAAGAAGAATGTGCAATAGTAGGAATAATGAAAACAAACATCGCAGAAAGAGAGGAGAAATTTTTACTGCATAGTTACAATACACAATACAAGAGATATTGGACTAGTATAGCAATAGACAAGAAAAAAGGTTCAGGCGTAGGAATACTAATAGATGAAAAGTAGGAAAAGCACTTAGGAGTAGTTAAAAGAGTCAGCTAATATATGTTAGAGATGAGATTATATTTTAAACAACTAGAATTGGTAGTACTGGAAGTATACATCCCACCAAATGACAAATTAATCACTAAAAAAATTCAACAAAGAATTATAGAGGTAGTAACAAACAGGAAAAGATATACAGAAGTAATTATACTTGGCAATTTTAATCACACAGTAGATAACATACTAGACAGACTACATCCACAAACATCAAACTACAAAAAACTGCCAATATTT